CCACAGGAGGGGCGATCTCAGGCCTCCCCCAGCCCCACAGGAGGGGCGATCTCAGCCCCCCAGCCCGGGCGATCCCAGGCCTCCCCCAGCCTCGTAGGCCTGGTCAGACGGAGCTCCCCGGATCCTCACCCTGTGGGGCAGGCAGTTTTCTCACCCTCCTTCTCTCCCTCGCAGGGCGGCTACTTCCCGGAGCATGTGAAGGCGATGACCAGCCTGCGCTGGCTGAAGCTGAACCGGACGGGGCTCTGCTACCTGCCCGAGGAGCTCGCTGCCCTCCAGAAGCTGGTGAGCGGCATGTTGCGGGCAGGGGATGGGGCTCGACGGCTCCCGCTGGGGCTGTGAGATCCGATGGGGGCCTGGACGGTGGCATCGGGGGGCTGGTGGCTGCCAGCATATCATGGCTCATCGGCGGATGCTCTGGTGTCTAATAATAGGGCTGAGCTACAACGTGTGGTTGAAATCGGATGCAGGAGCTGTTAGGAGTGGTTTTGAGACAGACTTGTACTGGGTTTCACCTTGTTTTTCCTGGAAAACCAGACTAAAAAACATGCTTAGATCCTCTACCCTTTAATAGAAGGGATCAGTGAAAGTTTATTATGGGGAGGATTAAGTTTTGGGGCTTTTTTTTCTTCCTCCTCCTTTGCTAAAAGATATGAAGAACAGGAGCTGGCAGCTGCCCGACTTTGTTTGTTGGGTGGCTCAAGTTTTGTGCACGACCAGGCCCTTGGCAGAGCCTGTGGCTGAGCTTTGCTTTGGCGGTGTCCTGCAACACGTTATGGACGTCGTTAAATCGCTGTCAGCCAAACACAACACTTTAAATGCTGCCAGAAGTCCTAGTTGCCGTGCTGGCCGTGCCCTGCTTAGGCACAGCAAGTGGAGAAGCCCTCCGTGCTGCTCAGAGCTGCGCTCCCACCAGTGCTGCCAGATGCTGGGGGGACCACGGCTAGACTTAAAACCTGGCATCTCGCCCACAGTCTGCCAATTCCGCATTTTCCTGAGCAGGTAACAGCTGGGCTGGTGATGCCCAGAGGAAAACAAAATTTCCCCTGGGCCCTCCTCCAAGCTCGCTGGTCCCCATGTGTTTGCCGGTTTCCAGATCACCCAGTGAGAAGCATTTCTGAGGACTGGGGTCTGTTAGCTCAGGGACTGTATGCTGCCACAAGCAGCCCGGAGCACCCCAAATCCTGCGGCTGGGCTGGGGTGTCTCAGCCAGGTCTGCCCCAGGGTGCAGAGGCAGCGTGGGCACACTGGGGCCAACCAACCAGTTTGAGACTGGGAGAGTCCCAGCAGCCTTGTGTGGGTCAGGGCTGAGCTCACCCCGTGCTCCGCAAGCCCCTTACTTTCCTGGGATTGAGGAGCCCCCACACTGGTTGGGGGGGCCGACCGCTGCCCCGCACAGCCCTGGCCTCTCTCTCTGCTCACTGGGGCTTGTCTGGGGCTTCCCTGCAGGAGCACCTCTCCGTGAGTCACAACAGCCTCACTACGCTCCACGGCGAGCTCTCTGGCCTGCCCTGCCTCCGGGTAAGTGTCTCCCTCACGTGTCCCACCTACATCAGGGCTTGGTGTCCGCAGGCACCTTTCAGCCAGCCCCTGGCTCTGGGGACACATGAGAGTCGTCCGTGGGCACGCAGCGGGGCTCAGCAGGCGTAGAGCTGGCAGATGGCTGCACTGGTGCCTTTCTCCCCCCTTCCAAGGCAATTGTGGCTCGTGCAAACAGCCTGAAGAATTCAGGAGTCCCCGATGATATCTTCCAGCTGGACGACCTCTCGGTGCTGGTAGGTGCAGAGTCTCCTCGGCTAGCGCGAGAGCCAGCTCAGACTCCTGGGTCCCACTCCTGCACCTTGGTGGCCCCTCGGGGAACGCGGTGGGGCTGAGGAGCGTCAAGGGGAAAGGTGCAGGGAGAAAGCAGGGCTCGGCGCTGCGCGGCTCCCTTTTTGACTTTTGGGTGCCCAGGCCATAACTCGCTTCCCTGCAAGAACTCCCGTGCCCTTTCAGTGACAGTTCTTCTGACCCCCTGTCTGAGCACCGTGGCAGCTGGCTGCGGGCAGGATAACCCTGTGGCAACGCCTCCTGTAAAAGCTGAT